ATAGATAGATAGATAGATAGATAGATAGATAGATAGATAGATAGATACCAATAGATTGATCGATAGATGGATGGATGGATGGATGGATGGATGGATGGATGGATGGATGGATAGATAGATAGAAGATAGATATCAATATAGACAGATTAGATAGATGATAGATAGGTGATAGATAGTAGATAGATACCAATAGATAGATATATAGATTAGATAGATAGCAACATAGATTAGATAGATGATAGATAAGTGATAGACAGTAGCTAGATACCAATAGATAGATTAGATAGATAGATGATAGATACCAATACCAATTATGTATGTATGTATGTATGTATGTATGTATGTATCTATCTATCTATCTATCTATCTATCTATCTATCTATCTATCTATCTTAATAAATAAATCCTGCACACACACACACACACACACAGGATATAAAGAATATATACAGGTCCAATCCATTGTTTTTGACTGCCAGGAATACAGCAACCACCGCTGGGATGCGTCACCCCAGCCTCTATTGGGAGCTGCAGCCGGGAAACCCTGGGGGAATGGGATCCTGTGTCATCTCCCTCCTACCATCCTGAGCAAACCCATCGCAGCGTTATCAACTCATCTCCTTCTCCAGCCCCCCTGCAGATGGTGCATTGTCCATCCTGTTGGGGCTGCTAAGCACAAGTTTGCAACTCAAACTCTGCAGGACCCACGACTGAGTATTGTGTTGCTGCCCAAAGGAACAACTAAAAAAGAAAAACAAAAAACAGCCCACAGCATCCACGCCCCTCTCCAATCCTTAGTAGCACCAGCAACCAACAACTCAAAAAAGCACATGATCGCACTCTGGGTGCACCTGTCCTGCTAAGCGGGCTAGAAGCATTCAGAAACCCAGAAATCACCCAGTAGAATCTGGCTTGTCTCTGCTTTTCAGAAGGTCGCAAAAGGGGATCGCATGACCCCAGGACACTTCAACCGTTGTAAATAGGAGTCAGTGGCCAAGCCCCTGAATTCTGGTCACGTGACCACGGGGGTGCTGCGACGGTTGTAAGTGTGAAAAACGGCCATACGTCAGAGGTGGTGTTTGGCAGGTTCTGACCAGTTCTGGTAGTGGAAATTTTGAGTAGTTCAGAGAACTAGCCAATACCACCTCTGACCGGCCCCGCCCCCAGCTATTCTCCGCCTCCCGAATCCCGGCTGATTGGCTGGGTCTTCTTTGGTTGCCCTGCACAGGAGAACGGAGCTGGAAAGCAGGTTAGTGGGGTGGGGAGGGAAGGAGGATGTTGCAGTAACCTTCCCCTGGGAGTGGGGAGGGAATGGAGAGTTTACAATATCCTTCCCCTACCACGCCCAAACAAACCACTCCCACAGAACCGGTAGTAAAAAAAAAAAATTGAATCCCATCACTGCCATAAGTCACCTTTTTTCAGTGTCACTGTAACTTTGAACGGTCGCTAAATGAATATGTTGTAAGTCTGCCTGTACTTTCAAAAAGGACTTGATTTTGTTCGTTTATATCCTCTGCTTTGGAACTCCTCCTATTTCCTGGTCTTCAGCGTGGACCAAGAAATGCTTCTGTTTTGTTTTCTTTTTCTGGTGATTCACCAAAGGCCAAGCCAATCTCCAGAGAGGGTTGCCAAATTAAAGGAAGGGAGAAATGGAAGGTATACTCAAATTTCAAAGTGCAATCGGATTCCCGCCCCTTTTTTTTTCAAATTGCAGGAGCAACCTTTCCATCTGCTTGGATGCTTTGCTATAAATGAGGCAGGGCTGGGCCTCTCCCCTAGGCTGCCAAGCCATAATTTGCAATTTTTCCTCCTTCCCTGTTGGGAGGTTGACAAGCCTCACTTGAAAATTGTAGCCGAGGAACACGCGAAGAGACCAGCCACGGGTTTGTTCAGACGAGAGATTTTGCCACAGAAGTACATCTCCTGTAATCTTCAGATCTTCTCTACAGGTATTCCTCGATGTTTGAACCGGAAGGAAGGCTGTGCGCCAAGGAACTGATGTTTTCAAACTGTGGAGTCAGGAAAGACTCTTAAGAATGCCTTGGACTCAAGGAGAACTAATCAGTCAACCCAAAAGGTGCTTTTTTTTTTAAGGAGTCAACTGGACTTTAACTGGACCCTAACCCTAACCCTTCCAATTCTGTTGTTCTGTTCAGTTTTGTCTGTCCACGTCCTATCCTTCCAATTCTGTTGTTCTGTTCAGTTTTGTCTGTCCATATCCATGTCCTATCCTATCCTATTCTTCATTGACCGATTGCTTGGGTGCTGTTGAGTTATGGTCAATTCTTAGCAGTCACGTAGGTAGATTTTTTTTTCCCCATGGTGACTTGTCCCTAATTAAGTCTTCTAATGGTAGGGGATGGGGGAGGGGAGGGGAAACAGAACTGCTTTAAAACTAGGGATTAGAATGTAATAGATAATGATTATAACTCTATCCAGCTTTTCCCGCTAATCTAGTGATACTAATTCTGTTTTATCCTTCATCGTCATGTGTTGTATTTACATTGCAGGAAGGCTTGATCCCCGCTAAAAAAAAATGTTTAATTTGCAGGTGGACGATTAGAATCTGACCACCTGGAATTTTACTGGTTTATATATACAGTATATATAGTTCTTGAAAGACTTAAGGGAATGTGCTACTTTAGCAAAAGTGGTAGATAGAATAGAATAGAATGGAATGGAATGGAATGGAATAGAATAGAATAGAATAGAATAGAATAGAATAGAATAGAATAGAATAGAATAGAATAGAATAGAATTCTTTATTGGCCAAGGGTGATTGGACACATAAGGAATTTGTCTCGGTGCAAATGCTCTCAGTGTCCATAAAAGAAAAGATACATTCGTCAAGAGTCAAGAATCATCAGGTACAACACTTAAGAATAGCCATAGGGTACAATAAGCAATCAAATCATACTAGGAAACAGTCAAGATAAATCATTAGGATACAAGCGACAAGTTGCAGTCATACAGACACAAATGGGAAGGGATGAGTGATAAGGAGTGATGAGAAGATTAACAGTAACAGTAATGCAGACTTTGTAAATAGTTGGACAGTGTTGAGGGAATTATTTGTTTAGCAGAGGGATGGCGTTCGGGGAAACAAGTGTGGTGCTCTGATCAAACTTTGCCTTCTGCAGGGGACAAACCAAGGCTGTATTTGACCCAGTTTATACAGGTGGTCCTTGTATTTATGATGGTTGCCATTATTTCTGTGATACAGGTAGTCCTCAACTTACAACACTGACCGTTCAAAGATACAATGGCACTGAAAAAAGTGACTCACAACCATTTTTTTCAGACTTATGACCGTTGTATCATGCCCAAGCAACTTTTGGATGCTTAGTCAAGAGCAATATTTCTTAACCTGGGCAACTTTTAAGGCTTCAGCTCCCAGGATTCCCTAGCTAGCATGCTGGTTAGGGAATTCTGGGAGTTGAAGTCCACCCACCCATCTTAAAATTGCCAAGGTTGAGAAACGCAGCTGAAACCCAAGCTCCTTTGCACAACCTGAGCTCATATTCTGGTGATTTCCTGGGGAAATCCATACAAGGCAGTCCTCGCTTCATAATCACTCATTCAATGACCATTTACAACGGGGCTGAATGAGTGGTCCTTACAACCAGTCCTCACAATTTCAGCCAAAGCAGCCTTCCTGTAATCGCATCATCTAAATTTGGACACTCAGTGACTTGTTTCCAACCGTCATAGCATCCCATAGTCATGTGATCAGCATTGGAAACCTCTCCCTTCCTCCTTCCCCCTCTTTTACCCTCTCTGCCCCTCCCTCTTTCTCTCCCTTCCTCCTTCTCTCTCTCTCTTCCCTTCCTCCTTCCCTCTTTCACTCTCTCCCCCCTTCCTCCCACTTTTTCTCCCTTCCTCCTCTCTCTCCCCTTTCCTCCTCCCCTCTCTTTCTCTCCCCCTCCCTCTTTCTCTCCCTTCCTCCTTTTCTCTCTCCCTTCTTCCTTCTCTCTTTCCCTTTCTCTTTCCCTCTTTTCCCTCTTCCTCCCTCTTTCTCTCCCGTCCTCCTTCTCTCTCTCTCCTCCTTCTTCCTTCTCTTTCTCTCACCCTTCCTCCTCTCTCACCCTTCCTCCTCCCCCCCCTCTCTCCCCCTCCCTCTTTCTCTCCTTTCCTCCTTTTCTCTCTCCTCCTTCTCTCTCTCCCCTTCTTCCTTCTCTCTCTTCCCCTTCCTCCTTCTCTGCCTGTCTCTCCCTCCCCCTTCCCTCTCTTTCTCTCTCTCTCACACACACACCTACGCATCCTAGAGATCATCCACTTATTCTCATCTGATCTTAGCCATTTATTCAGTCTGAACCACTGTGGGTGACAGCGGATGAGAAGCCTAATGAGGTATTCCAGAGGAAAACGTCTCCGCTGCCAGCATCTGAATTGAGATTAATCTCCCAGGAGGAGCTTTGACAGACTAGAAGCATCAGAGGTTCATACAAATCACCAAAGGCTGGATTCCCCACTTAACGGGCCTAACGGAAGAACCAGTTTCTCCCCAAAACCAGCAAGAAAATATAGAAGGTCAGAAGACTATTCATCTTCTACTACAGGTAGTCCTTGACTTACAACAGTTCGTTCAGTGACCATGTGAAGTTAGAACAGTACTGAAAAAAAAGTGACATGGCTCTTTTTCACACTCATGACCCTTGCAGCATCCTCCATGATCAAAACCCAGGAACCTGGCAAATGACTCGTATTTACAACGGTCCCAGGGGTCACGTGATCCCCTCCTGCGACCTTTTGACAAGCAAAGTCCACTTGGGGAAGCCAAATTTCCTTCACAACTGTGTGGCTAACTAACTGTAGTTCTTACTGGCTCAACAAAGGGATTGCCTTCACAACTGTGACGCAAAATAGGGCAAAACTCCAGCTAACGAATGCCTCATTTAGCAACAGCAATTTTGGGTTCAATTGTGGTTGTAAACCGAGGATTATTTGTACTACCCTGGATGGTATGTTAAAATAAAGACGGAAAGACTTTCAGGCTAGCTTTGTCCAATCTTGGATTAGCAGGTCATTTTGGAAAGAGGGACTGTGGTTTAAAATTACACAAAGTTTGTTCTAACAAGCCAGATTCCTAAAAAAAAAAAAAAAAAAAAAATGCCTTGAAGATTCCTAAACCTCGGCCAATTTTCCCCAAAACTGGAATGCCGTTCCTAACCCGATGCAATAGGAAAAGGTTTGGTCTTCAACAGGATTATAAAAAAAATAAAAATGAATTGTGCAGAAATAAATAAAGTTACAATGGAATTGCAGAAGGAAGAAAAAGGATACTATACGGTCTGGGAAAAATTGTATGTTTGGTTAGATAACAGGAATAAAAGACAATGCAAAATGTAAATATAAATGATGGATATATGTGTATATGTATATGTATATATGTGTGTGTGTGTGTATGTGTTTGTGTATGTGTATATGTGTGTGTGTATATATGTGTGTGTGTGTGTGTGTGTGTGTGTGTGTGTGTGTGTGTATGTATGTATGTATGTATGTATGTATGTAAATGAATATGGAAAAGTCAATGCCACAACTTACTGCAAAAATTGTAAATATTATTTGTTTTTAAAAGGGTAAAATTTAATAAAATGTATTTATTTTAAAAGAGGAAAAGGTTTGGTCTCTGTCTACCAAATCCATCCTTTCTCTCTGTTCGTCTTCTTTTAAAGAGCCATGAACGTTCAAGAAACAGGTTTAGAATATCCCATCGTTGTCACGAAACTCCTCCTCAGTCAGGATCTGGGAGAAACAGGAAGGACCTTTTCCAAATTGTGGACCTATTTTCTGATCCACCTGTACAAAAAAAAAATAGAAACCGACCTCCGTTTCTGATTGCTGAAATCCCCCGGCAGAAGTCTTCGAAGCTGATCACACCGAGCCCAATAGGGTCCAAGAACTTGATCAAATCCTTCACCTGCAAACAGAGGCACACAAATCAGACTTCCCGTGCCACAGATAAAAATTTAATTCAAGCTTCAGCCTCGCACGACGAACCTCAGTTTTTTCCCAGACAGCCTCAAGGATGGGCATAAAACCTGCTTCACGGCCATAAATATAAATGAATGCAAATGGTTGTAAATTGCACTCATTAGATAATCAGGTGCATGATACACACAGTGACTTAAATTACAACCGTGTCATTTAAAGGACATTCAGATCCAAAAGATAATACCCCCCCCCCTTTCTCTCCAATCAGTCCACAAAATCAAGGTTTTGGTAAATTCAAAAGGGGCTCTCTCTCTTTTTAGCTATTTTAATGAAGTATATAAATTGGACATAAATAATGAATGTGCATATTTAAACCATTTACAGTTATATACTCCCAAGAGGACTTATTTTCCCTTAATTGTAGCACTGGTGCAGTTTGCAAATGTTCGTTTGTTGGATAGAATAGAATAGAATTCTTCATTGGCCAAGGGTGATTGGACACACAAGAAATTTGTCTTTGGTGCAAATGCTCTCAGTGTACATGAAAGAAAAGAGACATTTGTCAAGAGTCGAGAATCATCAGGTACAACACTTAATGATAGTCATAGAGTATAATATGAATAGAATAGAATAGAATAGAATAGAATAGAATAGAATAGAATAGAATAGTTTATTGGCCAAGTGTGATTGGACACACAAGGAATTTGTCTTTGGTGCAAATGCTCTCAGTGTGCATAAAAGAAAAGATACATTCGTCAAGAGTCAAGAATCATCAGGTACAACACTTAATGATAGTCATAGGGTACAATAGAATAGGAATAGGAAAGAACAGAATAGAATAAGGGATAAGAATAGAATAGAATTTTTATTGGCCAAGTGTGATTGGACACACAAGGAATTTGGTGCTCTCAGTGTACATAAAAGACATTCGTCAAGAGTCAAGAATCATCAGGTACAACACTTTATAATAGTCATGGGGTACAATAAGCAATCAAATCATACTAGGAAGCACTCAATATAAATCGTAAGGATACAAGCGACAATGTTTACAGTCATACAGTCACAAGTGGGAAGAGATGGGTGAAAGGAAGGATAAGAAGATTAAGAGTAATAGTAGTGCAGACTTTGTAAATAGTTGGGCAGTGCTGAGGGAATTATTTGTTTAGCAGAGGGATGGCGTTCGGGGGGAAAAAACTGTCCTTGTGCTTAGTTGTTCTGGTGTGCAGTGCTCTATAGTGTCGTTTTGAGGGAAGGAGTTGAAACAGTTTATGTCTGGGATGTGAGGGGTCTATAAATATTTTCCCAGCCCTCTTTATGACTCCTGCAGTGTATAGGTCCTGGATGGAAGGCAAGTTGATAGTAATTCTTTTTTCTGCTGTCCTGATTACCCTCTGAAGCCTGTCTGTCTGTCTTGTTGGGTAGCAGAGCCAAACCAGACAGTTATAGAGGTGGAGAATTGTTCCCTTATTATTATTGCTGCCAATGTTTGGTTGAGGTTTGTATAAACAAAAAGAGAAACTTTAAAAACGACTTAAGATAATCCCTGACTTACAACCATTCATTTAGTGACAATGGCACTGAATAAAATGACTTATGACCGTTTTTCACACTTACGACCGTTGTAGCATCCCCAAGATCACGTGATTTATATTCGGACGCACAATTGACTCACATTTATGATGGTTCCAGTGTCCCAGGGCCACGTGATCCCTTTTTGTGACCTTCGGACAAGCAATGGGGAAGCCAGATTCACTTAACAACCATGTTCCTAACTTAGTGGTTCACTTAATGACTATGGCAAAAAAGGTCGTAAAATGGGTCAAAACTCACTTAACTATCTCACTTAGCAACAGAAATTTTGGGCTCAGTTGTGGTCATAAGTGGAGGACTATCTGTACCCAGCCATCAGAGCAGGGTCCTCATGCTGGGCTAAACCAATGGACCGGAGACCACTGGTGGTCCGCAAGAAAATTTTAGTGGTCCGCAGAGAAATGTCACCCCCAAAGCAATTAATCCAGACTGTGTGGGAACACAAGGCTTGCGTCACTTGCTTTGTGAACAACATGAAGTAGTGAGGGGAGGATGGAAAGGGCGGAAGTGGGGTATTTGCTCCACTCGCCCCATGCGCCTCACCTGGCCACCGGGCTGCTTCTTTCTGCTTCTTTCTTCTTCTGCTTTTGGCTGCACGCAAGGAAAGCAGCGAAAGTCTTTCTTTCTCTCCCCCAAACTCCACCAGAAACGAGTCTTTGGGACCCTGCAAGGCCTCCTGCTCCAAGAGGCTGTGCCAGCAAAGACTCATTTCTGGTGGAGTTTGGGGGAGAGAAAGAAAGACTTCTGCTGCTTCTGCTGCTTTCCTTGCAGGAAGCCAAAAGTCTCTCTCTCTCTCTCTTTCCCTCCCTCCCTCCCTCTCTCCCCCTGAGAACAGAGCTGCGATCCCAAATAAAGAACGATCGATCAGTAGGAAAACGGGGTGGGGAATTTTCCTGCAGACTTTTTTTTTGGGATTTTCCCAGGGTCTCTGGTCCATGGGATTTAAAATTATGAGTTTGGTGGTCCTTGAGGTCCAAAAGGTTAGCGACCCCTGGGATAAACCATCCTTCAGTTCTGTGAATCTAGGCTATGGGGCTTTTAAACTCTGATTCGTGGCTTAGCTCCCTATGCAAACCCAAATCAAGTCTGACTTCATCTAAAAACCGGATGATTAAGAGGCAGGCAGATTAATCCCCAGCAGACTGTGATTATAAAAATGCCACGCACAGGATCTCACTTCAGCCATGAATCAACCAGGGTGGATCTTGCCTTCCTTAGTAATTGGGGGGATCATCTTGGCCAATTATTATACGGATTACCGTAGCTAACAGCTGCAAAGCTTTGAAACATATTACATAAACAGTGAGAAATTACCAGACGACGAAACCCCCAAAATTCCCTCCCTTACCCACCGCCTTTTAAGCTTGCAAGCATTTTCATTATAATGTCCTTTAAAAAAATATATTTTGATTGCCCAATTATAGGGACTTTATAATAAAAACCAAAAACCCTTGAGTCTGCAGCTGTAGATAATAGCACTTTCATAATGCTGCAGCAATTAGCGGGAAATATGGAGAGAAGAGGGGGGGGGGAGAAATCACAGGTTAGCAAAGATTAGGGGACTGGGAGAGAAAGACGAGGCGCAGAAACAGATAATAATTTTCCCTTTTTTTAAAAAAAAAAAATCAATTTCTGCACAATGGGGCAAAATAGAACCTGCACAGGCCAAACAAATAAACGGGAAAGATGCAATGTTTTAACTCAGGCTACCCCCGAGGGGAAGATTGGAGAACCTATGCCACCTCAGACAAGTGACTGTCCAGTCTCTTCTTAAAAACCTCCAGTGATGGAGCCCCCATGATTTCTGGTGGTAAGCTGTTCCACTGGTTAATTATCTAACACTAACCCTTGATTACCTTCTCATCTGTCGGGACCTCGTCGCACTTCCATTGTTTAGCATATGCAATTCTAGCTGCAGTTAGCGTATCTAAAATCAAGTGTATAAATCTCTTTTATCATATTTTTCTGGTAGAAAGCCCAATGAAAGTATTTCTCGTTTCATATCTAAATGCTGCTCTATCATTTTTTTCCAACCAGGTATGCATTTTCGTTCAATATTTTTTAAGTTGTGGACACGTCTGTGTCCACCACATATGGTAACATGAGCCAGGCATTTGATTACATTGCCAACATTTAGTATATCTATCCTTATACATTTTCGCTAATCTTGTTGGTGCAAAATGCCATCTATAAAACATTATATACAGATTTTTTTTTTTTTGCATGCAGCTGTCATGCCCCTGTTAGAATCTGATTCCGGTGGAACAGCTCTCAGGGGGTGGGAGTTTGGCCCTGGTGGCTGTGGAGGAAATTGGGGAAGGGTACAGTCCGGCTGGGTATTCAGAGGAAGACCCAGGCCCATCCCCCTCTTCATTCTAGAGCACGCAGGGAGAAACGGATAAGGGAGCAACGTGGGTTATGGGGGAGAAAAAGGCCCTGATTCCCTTCATTAGTTGCAGCTGAGAAAACAGGATAAAGAGGATGTTTGTGCACAGCTCCTACCTTTGTTTGTCAAGTCTTATCTGGGTTCTGGTGTCCTCCCAACTGTGTGTGTTTTGTTATCTTTTGAAGTCTTCAATTCCTTATCCTACCCTGTCTCCTTAATTGCTGCAGCGAGGTTTGTGTTGGCTTTTATGTATAATCTATATGTACTTTGAGTTCGGAGTGAATTTCTTCCCTTTTAAAGCTGTTCTTGGGAGAGTTCGTTTCTCCAGCCGAAGACAACTGGGCATTGGGAGGCCACGTTGGAAGTATTAAAGGGACTTTACCTACTTTTGTGACTTTGTTGCTTTAGCGCCATGCCTGGGCCATCACAGCAGCTGATTTTATTTAACATTTCTCTCCCACGGTTTCTGCCATTTATCTAATTGTGATATTGTGGTGCATTTTTGTATTGTAGGGGAAGATATCGAAGACAGTTGTGGATGTCATGAGCCTTGCAAATGCTCATGGCGCCACCCACTTGAGACCCCTAACATTCCTGACTATTCTATTCTATATTCATATTCTATTCCTATTTATATTCTATCCTATTTCTGACGCCCTTCTCCAAACAGAACTTGATCTTGTCCCTCTTTGGGGGACAAGATGGGGATGAGGGTGATCTCCAACATATCACGCAAGGCCATTGAGGGGTCAGAGGTGGCGACCTTTGTTCCTTCACATGCATTATTTGGCTCCACGATGGCTGAACCAAGTCATCACAAGGGACTCATTTCCACCTTCATAAATGCTGCGTGGCTCGGCATTTCCCCTCCCCCCAGTCATGTTTTGAACTATGCAGGCAGAAAGCATCACAGGAAAGAAAAGGTTGACTGTATAACTCATCATCGCATAGGGCACCAGGGGAAAAAAAAAAAATCGGGGTACAGATCTTACTGTTCTTGAGATTCTTCT